ACAGTAGGGGAAGGGGTTAGTTTCCCAAATTCTGCGACGACCTTCCTTGACCCGTGGGTGCCTGATTTGGAGGTGGAAAGGACCGCTGAAAAGATGGGACAAAAGAACGTCTCAGATCTCGGTAGGTGTTCTCTGAGTATGGTCTTAATTCGCCACGTCTATAATTTTGAAAGCTGTTTCCTCTTGCGTAGGATGCTTCCTCATACTGCCTACTACCAGGAATTTCTGATGATGGACATTGGTTTATCTTGTGACCAACGTCCCCACACTTGAAACATTGTATACTGCTGTATTGCAGTCTTGAGGGATCCCTAGAAAATGTTGGTCTGGTGGCACCACTCCGTTCAAATCTGTCCAGCTGTGCTTGTTGTCTCTGGTAAGCATTTCCTGTCGGGTTTTCAATAAGGTAACCATTTCGTTCATTCCCTCCATATCAGACGGCTTGGTTGCTACTAAAAGATCTTGGTGTACTTCTTCCTGGCTCCTAATACAAGCGCTAGCCCTAAATCGATCACCATCCTCCATCCACGTCAACACTGAGTCCCTAAAACTTTCAAAGGTAATATCGGGGTTATCTACTGAAAATTTCCGGAGTTCACGATGAAGTTGCGCATCCCTAACCCCGTCGATTAAACGTTCTTTCAAAATTAAATTTCTATCACCTATAGCCTTGTTATCTTTCTTTATGACACAATCAAGCAGTTTCATCAAAGTCAATGAATACACCTGCAACGATTCCCTTCACGCTGATTCCTCTGATAGAATACTTGCTGTAAATGAGCCACTGATTCGGGCATTTTATACATGGATTCTAGTATCTTAATAATTCTATCTGACGAATCCCGTGAATCCTGTGGACGCATCCTAACCTTGTCCTTCGCCTCCCCTGATAAATTATCTAACAAAAATTCTACTTTAGAAGGTTCAGTATTATTATAATTGTTCAAATTCTGATGCACATCTTCTAGCCAATCAGAAAAATCAATACCTTTTGAAAACTGCCCACTAAATTTTTCAATCTTTCTTTCTTTTGTGACTTTTGTCTTCCTCTCTTCTTGTAAAGTCAACATCTCTGCCTTTAATCTCCCGAGTTCACCCCGATGCTGTTCCACCACTTCTTCCATAGCTCGATGTTGTAGTTGTAGCCTCTGATGTTATGTAGTGTTGTCTCTGTAATCCTATCGGCGACGCCAAGTTGTAACCAGAAGAAACACCAATAGTATCTTATTAGTTTATTAGGAATCTACAGAGACAACAATCTCCTAAGTAAGGGAACACAGAAGCAACACCAACTACGGTACCAACCATTCAATGGAACCCTTCGAGGTTGAAATATGGCATACCACCCTCGAGCTCTTCAGACCCACTGAATACTAATTAGTGAGCTTCCCTACTGACAAATGTTCATTGGATAAACTGGTCACATGACACCGTATAGTTCACAATGCGCGAAATTTAAATGGACATAACTATAATATAACATAAATTTAAATGGACATAATTATAATATAACATACATGTACATGTAAACCTGACTAAGTCGTAAAATAACTTTCCTAAATAATTGACTATCCAAAATATGTTACACGTACATAATTAAATTCGAGGGAGTTGAACAATTACTATGGAAGCAGATTGCTATCTTGGTCTATGGAAACACGAATTGGAAACAATGTATCTATTGACAGGTTACAATTATGAGAAGGTTTAGAGTCTGTACACATTCTATACATCAGCAACTGGTGTGTCCACCGCAAGTGTCAATAATAGCAGCGCAGCGTCTGTACATGGAGTGGACCAGACGATTGATGAACAACATTGGTACCTGGAACAACACTCTCAGAAAAGCCATCCATCGGCTGTGTTTGGTCTCGGTCTTTGGTCTCCTCTGAAATTCATCCCAAAGATGTTCAATCGGGTTTAAGTCCGGACTAAGAGCTGGCCAGTGCATAACGTTGACACCGTTCTGCTGCAAAAAGTCCCGAGTAACGCTGGCGGTGTGGACACAGGCGTTGTCATGCTGGACGTGCGAAATGTGGTATGATGTCGCGCTCAACTGTGATGCCGTCTCCTCTCCCTAGACCAAGATTTCGGAACACCACAGGACCCACTCTCTGGTTCAGGCCGATTCCACCCCAAACCATAATGCTTGGACCTCCCAATGAGTCTCGTTCCATGACACATTGGTCAGAATAACGCTGGCCATGTTCACGCCATATTCTGGTCCTGCCATCTGCAGTTGACACCGACTCCCATCTGTGAACAGAACAGTTCTCCATTGCCTGTGTTGTTGGGCAAACTGTAGACATTCACGTTGATGGCGAAGGGTGAGGATGTTCTACGGCAATGGATGTTCTCTCTGGTGAGACGTCGGCGCACTGTATCAGTACTGATGGGTGTTCCGTGTGTTCCCACTGTCCGACGTGCTGTCTCAGATGCCTGTGTGAAGGGATTCTGCCCGTGCTGTCGCACAACATGGCGGTCTTATCCCCTTGTGGTGACCCTTGGTCTACCAGTTCGGGGGCCATCATCCGTGGTGTTGGTGGCCCGAAAGCGTTGCTTAAGCCTGTAGATGGTCCGAACATTGACCTGGAAGTGATTGGCAACGGCTTGGGCAGTGTGGCCAGCGCCGAGTCTTCCAAGCGCTGGTTTCCTCTGAGCTGTCGTGAGTCGTGGCATGCTGCTGACGTTGTAGTGTGAATAATTCAACCAGGCAGTGATGGGATTTCAAAATTTTTCTTGCAGACTTTTTACCCAAAATAAAGGGGCAAAACTCTTATCGTTATTTAAGCAGACGGATTCATACCACAATTGAAAATCACGGGTCAACATATTCAAATCCTGTACGTAATAAAAATAGGTGAACCTCGCTATTTTCCATATTTAATTCCTGTACGGTATACAAATTTATGTCAGTAACAATCCTACAAAATAACTCATTTTCGTAATACATTGAATTAAAGCTTGCCGATCCTGCTTCAGCATCAAATTCACAATAGTAGGCCTAATATTCCTGCAAAATTATGTGTCTTCGTTTATACGGCAGCAAATGAATGCAGAACTTCCTGAATAAGAATCATTTTCTTCTTTATAAAATGTCAACAAAATATTCAAATCCGCACGTAATAAAATAAGAACACCTCACTATTTTTCATATTCAGTTCCCGTATGGTATTCAAATTTATGCCAGTAATGTTACTATAAAATCACGTGTTTTCGTAATATGATAGAATGAAAGCTTGCCGATTCGTACCTACTTGTAAAAAGGCATAGCTTCCTTCAGCGTAAGGCGTATGTGACTCATAGCACATAGCTTCATCGTAAGCACTGCCTTGTAAGCGATTTTCATTCGGCAATCGGGATCGCGGAAGAGTGTCACTGTTGATGAGAATTTCTTTATGGAATCTTAAAAGACGTAAAAGATATCGCAGACATCTAAGACTAGTTTATACATGCTATTGGTTGGGATATACTGTGATTAAAATTTCCGACAAGTCAATGTAGAAACCACTAGGTAAACACGTAGATTAAAATTATAATCACTCTCATTGGTTTGATGAATAGTCCGACAAAGGGGAAGCAATGACTTCTGTTTAAGATTAGATTGATGAATTGTCTGATAAAAGATTAAGTCAGTCAATCTGCCAGATTAAGCAGTTAATCAAGGTAGGTGTATAGACAGTATAAATACGTTGATCTCTTAATTACCTAATCGATCCAGCCTATTATTAACGATAATCGGGTTGAGTGGTAGCTATACTATACACTCAGTACACTATATTAATTTTGGAATTTTGAATATTATTCACCATATCTTGATGTCCGATTGGGCATATTCCAGGTCAGACAATTTTGGACGTTCGGAAAATAGCGTCAGACATGTCCGGAATATACAGGCGAAATCCCATTACTGCAACCAGGTATGGGGGTGCATTTTATAGGGCTGGTCCCGGTGAACAGCACGTGCAGCATGAGTTACATGAAAGTCATGGAGAACACATTACCATCTCAGAATCAGGTTGCGTTTTTGAGAACATTTCCTGGGTTCAATTCTGTGTTTGGGAAGGACCCTTATTGCTCAGGTAAAGTTGGAGATGTGGTCACAAATATACAATAAAAACATTTGGCAAGTTTTATGCAATGCGTCTATTCAGAGTAACATAGCAACCTGACGTTTCTTTTGCTGCTAAGTATACTTGGGTAACCAATAGATGCTACAGTTTGAATGGATTTATTTCAACGGTTTATAGCATCGGGATCATGAGAGCACACCCCCTATCGATAGTCAGCGATCTCTGTGATATTCTGTTCTGAAGTTACCACCCTTTTCCAAAATCCTTGTAAACACGATAGATATATTTTTAATTCGATGTGAAGCACTTGAACAATAAGAGGATAAGTTTTTTTCTTTCAAATTTGGATCTGTAGCATTGCACCACCTTCCGTTCCAGTGTTACCCACCTTTTTCAAAAACCTTGTGACAGACTAGAGGCTACAGTTTTTATCAAATGTTTTTTGAATTTGTGTAAAGCATGGGGGTCAGGAGCAGTCTAACTCCATCAATATGCTATGTTCTTTGACAAACCATTATGAAGTTACCCCCATTAGTCTGTCATCTAAAGAGCATGTTTTCATTTTCAAAACTGAATGCATACAATTGAGTTAGATGATTTAAAAAATTCAATACATGATCCCTACTGATTTTGGGCATTTTCGCAAAAATATTTCTGTTAATGTTATTGCCCCTGTTGTATGTGATGTCAATTACCTTTTCATATAGTGGCTCCTGGTACTCACTCTCTTTAAGAGTTTTTGAATTTTTTCAAAATTAGTGCCCATGACAAAGACACTGTTATGCATATGTTAGTTTCCTGGTAAGCTATTTGGCTTTTGAAATGATAGTGCTGTGCATTAGTTGACATTAACAGAAATAAAAGTATTATATATTTGAGAGGTTGTGCAGTTGGATATAGTAATTATTATTAATGTTGTTATTATAGCTGGTCCAGGTAATATATGGATGTATGCTGTAATAGCTGTTGGTACTATATTTGTTATAGCGGTAGCAGCTGCCTTATATAATATGTGGTAAGTTATATAACTCTTAATTTTAACACCATCTCATTATCAATATTACCATTTCACACGTAATGCGCTACATATATGAAAAATTTCTGGAATTTTTTTAATACTGGATACTTAAATGCTTTATTTACCATACCCCATAAAAGTAGCCATTTTAGATTTTTTAAAAGTATTGATGGCAATCGTTTAGATGATAAAGACGACAAACAAAATTTAATGTCTTGTATTGATTATATCATTCAAACATTTTTTTAACGATGTTACAGTGCGTTTTTATACATCGATGTTCAATTTTGTTCTTATCCTTCTCATCTGTCCTTTCACACTTACTTGTGAAATTGAAAGTCTATATTTGTCCCTCGCCTTTCGAAGAAAGCAGGGGACTATTAAAATGGGTTCGTCTGTCTGACTGTCACACATTTTGGGACACAATAACTCTCTTTCTAATTGAGCTAGAATGTTGAAACTTCGTGTAGGTGTTTATTAGGTCAATACCTTGATGGAGTTCTTAGATGAGTATTTTCTGCTTAGGGTAAGCAGAGATAAGTAATTTGATTGGTTGATGCTTTGGGGCACAATAACTTTAGTTCTAATTAAGTGAGAGTGAAGAAACTTGGTGTACAGTTTCGTTACATCAATACCTTGACTAAGTTCAATAATGAACATTTTCTGCTCAGGGTAAGCAGAGCGATAAACAATTTGATTGGCCGAGACTTTGGAACACAATAACTCTCCTTCTAATTGAGCTATAATGTTCAAACTTGGTGTAGGTGTTTGTTAGGTGAATGCCTTGAAGGAGTTCGAAGATGAGCATTTTCTGCATAGGGTAAGCAGAGATAAGCAATTTGATTGGTTGATGCTTTTAGACACGTAAACTTTAGTTCTAATTAAGTGAGAGTGAGGACACTTGGTGTATAGCTTTATTACATCAATACCTTGACTAAGTTTGATAATGAACATTTTCTGCTGAGGGTAAGCAGAGCGATAAGCAATTTGATTGGTTGAGACTTTGGAACACAATAAATCTCCTTCTTATCGAGGTAGAATGTTTAAACTTCATGTAGGCGTTCATTAGGTGAATGCCTTAATGGAGTTCAATGATGAACATTGTCTCCTTACTGTAAGCAGAGATAAGCAATCTGATTGGTTGATGCTTGGGGCACGATAACTTTGGTTATAATGAAGTGAGATCGATGAAACTCTGAATATAGATTCATTATATCATTACCTTGACTAAATTCGATGGTGCGATTTTTCTGCTTAGGCTAAGGAGCGATAAGCAGGCCTGGAAATAACAGTTTTAGATGTACCTGACAAAATGTCAGGCACTAATGAAATAGTACCTGACATTTTCAACTTAGTGCCAGACATGTATTAATAATATCAAAAAAAAGGACAAATCAGTGCCGGACAAAATGACAGGCACCATAGGTTTTGTGCCTGACAAAGCCTGACTCTGTGTCTGACATTTTCTGTGACAGGTGCCTTATTTCCAGGCTTTGCGATAAGCCGATTTGATTGGCCAAGATTTTGGAACATAACAACTCTGCTTTTAATTGAGGTAGAATGTTTAAACTTGATGTAGATGTTCATTAGGTGAATGTATTGACTGAGTTCAATGATTAACATTTCGAGCTAAAGCTAAGCTGAGCTAAGCAATTTCATTGGTTGATGCCTTGGGACAAGATAACGTTGATTCTATCTGATAGAGAGTGATACAACTTAGTGAATAGTTGATAATCAGTTTGATTGCTTGATACTTTTGAAAAAAATAAATGTGCGATTAAGTAATGTGTCATCTATTTATTTTGGGATTTCGGTGGGGGACATCATCCTGACTGTTAGCTTGTTTTATTGGCTGATGTTGTCACTTCTGTCACAGTCTGGACTTCTTCTAAAACACTTTATGGATTTGAACAAAATTTGGTGGGTATATAGCCAGTGCAGTGTTAATTCAATGTCACTTGCCTGGAACGGGGCACCTATAGGTTATCTTTAAAAATCTTTTTTAGAATTTATGAATGAATTTCTTTGAAATATATTTGACTTCTTCTCTGAAAGTGCTTGACGGATTTCAATAAAAATTGATTTAAATGTTGATATTCTTGCAGTTATTAAAATAAAGTTGCTTGACTCTATGGGGGTGGGGCATTGGCATCTTCATTATGCAAATTTTTGTATTTTTGTCTTCTACTCCTAAACTGCTTGACAGATTTCAACCAAATTCTGTAGATACATGTATAATTCATTAAGGTAATGCTTGTCAAGATTTATTCAAATAAAATTACCCCTATAATGTTCACTTCTTGTATAACACATGATGGATTTCACCTAGGTTTAGAACCTATTGCTTACTATGGATCCGAATCGTTGCCATATTAAGAGAAAATATAATAGTTAAATGTGACAAATTATCACAGTCAAAATGGTAAAAATGGTCATTTTCGAGATTTTTCACTTGTAAATATCACACAACACAAAATCACTATATTAGTATCAAAACAAACCAAAAAACTCTAGTTATGTTTTTTCACTTTCTACTTTTCGCCTTTGCAAATTCACTCTAACTTTTTCATCTTTGCATTTTCAACTATCAGAATTTCTCCATTGTAATTTCCACCACCAAAATTTCTCCAATCGAACGGACAGAGGGCATTGTTCCGGGTACAGTCGAAGTTGACGTCATAAGACATCAGTATTTATCGTCTCAGCAAAAATTACTACTCCATTGTGTTATTCATAACTCTTAGAATTGTCCGATTTTATTTATTATTTTTTTGAGAAAAAAATTGAAATTAATTCATTGTCATGTCAAACAACGTTTTGTTTAATATGTTATATCATCGAACCTTGAGGTTGGCTCATTGTCTTAACAGACCGGATGAATCTTTGACATCACATATAGGCATGGATGTTAGCGAATTTCTGGTGTTATATCTGAAGTAAGTGAAACTACAAAAGAGGTGCCTGGCTGCCTTAATCAATTAAGAAAAGCTTTACAGTTATTAGACGATGTAATAAATTGCAAACAGATATTAATGTTAATGCTCCTATATGCAGTACACATTCACCAATAATATACTCTTAAAAAAAAGTAGGGGATATTGAATAGTCATGGACACTCGACATGCTTTGAGAGTATGTTCACAGATGAAGAACTTATCGCCCCAACAGAACCACTGAGCTGCATGTGCGACACGCAATAGCGCCATACATGTGGGAGGTGTTCATTGTCAAATTTGACACTTCAAGGAAGGGTTGATGAAAACTGCTGCTTGCTGGTTTATCCTATCCATGTTTGCTTTCCTATCGGTTCTTGCATAAGATTTACTGTTTAGCGTATCTTTGCTTTAGTGTATTACGTTTAATTTGATTGGGAGACGTGTTCGTCGACGTCAACATCAACCGACAACACTGCAAGAATTAGCCGTGGCACTGCAAGAGGAGTGGGTCAGATTGTCCCAAATCGTGATTGGAGGGTTGATTAGGAGCATGCCACGACGAATTGCTGAATGTCTGTGGATTGATGGAGCAATTACTCATTATTAAGACAAAAATCAAAAACGTCCATTTTCACTTTTGACAGTGTATCTCTTTGCGAGTGAAATGGGGCCGTCAGATAAGTCGCCCATATGAACTGTTTATGTTCATGTGTAGGCAATTGGTATGTTATTAACATACACTGGTTACCTCTAATAAAAACATCAGTGCGTTTCCACAGTTTTGTATTGTTTCTAAATATCCCCTACTTTTTTTGAAGAGTATATTATCTTTAAAACTAAAAACATACAAACAATTAAAATATGAAAGGACTAGTAGAATTTATAAACTTGCAGATTATGAAGGTTTAAATAACGATTTATTAACTGTCGATTGGACAAATCATGTCTTTAATAATGATGATATCCATAAAGTCTATGCAAGTTTTTTAGCTGTTAATACAGTATATCCCAACAAAAGTAGTAACTATAAGAGCAAATGATAAGCCATTTATGAATAACGCCACACATATACAAATTCGAAAACGATATAGAGCACACAAACACGCCAAAAAAACTAATAATCCTAATCACTGGCTATTATTTAGAAAAATACGAAATGAAGAAGTAACATTAATCAGGCAAGCTAAAAACAATTTTAAAGACAAATTAGAAAAAGAAATAAATAATAAAACCCTGCCTCCAAATAAATGGTGGAAAATAGCAAAATCTATTACATATTTTGATAATGAAAAGGTAGCCATCTCGCCATTATTATATGAAAACTGTGTATACACACACCCACTTGATAAGGCAAACATCCTTATTTTGCCTCGATTTCAAAATTAAATGACCAGTTACTAATTCTTAACTGCTCAAAGCCTTCTGGGCCCGATTCCTAGAAAATTCTTAAGCACCTTCTTGTGCTTAGATTTAAGTAGACTTTGCATTTAAGTAAACTTACCTTATTTTGTGTTCCCAGAAAATTCTTAAGAACGTTCTTGTGCTTAGATTTTAAGTAGACTTCACTGTAAGCACAAGAACGTTATTATGCGTTCCAAGAAAAAACTTAAACATAGTCAATCTAAGCACAAGTCCCAAGCAAGGTATATGGCTTGCTTACCAACCTTAAGTCTGTTTCTGCTTCAAAAAGATGGCTGACCGTAGAGTTATTCAACGGCATTTCTGACACCTTTTGATACCAAAGAGACAATTACAAGACAGAGAAAATCCTTCTCCAGAAGAAATTTCAAATTAAGAATGCTAGGCCTATAGAAAATTTCGCTTCTAGGCCTACCCTGAAACCATTTTATTTATATGTGTATAGGGGACATGTCAAATGCATCTAAATCAACCATATATATATATATATATATGACGTCAATGAAGCAGACGACATATTTATGCTGTAATTCGCATACCAAAGTTGTTTTTATGATGTTAAAAAGCATCGTAGTCTCAGTTTATGGTAAACTTTACCAGTCACAATGTACTTAGACTTATACTTGACTTGTGCTTTCGTAA